TCACCTGTTGTTTATTCCTTTTTGCTTTTTTCCTGCTTCTTTTGGGTTGATTGTATTTTAATATCCATTCTTTATCTTTTCTGTTGGCTTAGGAGCTGTCCCTTGTCTTTGTTTTCATGCTTGTTCCAGAGTTTGCAATACACATCTTTAACTTAGGACAGTCTCCCTTCAAATACCACTTTCCAAAAACTGTTAGAACTTTACAGTAGAATACCCACATTTTCTTCTATCCTTTGTGTTGTTATCTCCACAATACAGTGTTACTGGTTTTGCTTTAGATGGTTATTATGTAAAGAAATCTTAAAACGAGAGAAAAAAATATCTTATGTTGATTTACTAGTTTACTGTTTCTGGGACACTTCATTCCTCCGTTTTCATCTGGTAATATTCTTTAGCCTACAACTTCATTTACTGTTTCTTGAAGTGCAGGTTTGCTGATATCAATTTTTTTCAGCTTTTTTTCTAAGTGGAAATGTCTTCATTTTACTTTAATTTTTTTTTTTTTTTAAGATTTTATTTATTTGAGACAGAGAGAATGAGAGAGAGCATGAGAGGGAGGAGGATTTTACTTTAATTTTTCATGATGTGCTTGTTAGATAGCAAATTCTAGACTGACAGCACTTGAAAGATGTTCCGGTTCCTGGCTTACATTGTCCTAATGAGAGGTCAGTGGTCATTTTCGTTCTCCTATATTTAACGTGTCTATTTCCTCCTCTAAGACTGCTTAAATGATTTTCTCTTTCCCTTTGGTGTTTTAGCAGTTTGATTTTGATGTACCTTTTAGATTTTTCTGGGAGTCCAGTTAGATGTATGTTAGACTGTTTAATATTGTCCAATAGTCAGTGAATCCTTTTTTTTTTTTTTTTTTTTTTCTTCTTGCAGTGTTTTTCTTTTTTGGCTTCATTTTGGATAGTTTTTATTGCCCTTCACAGTGGATGTGCTGTGAACTTGTGCATTTTTCATTTTACAGATGGTGTTTTTCACGCTAGAGATTGGTTTTTGATTACCATTCCCATGTCTATTTATTATGTTCATATTTTCCTTTAAATCTTTGGGCATGTTTATAACTGTTCTCACATCCTCGTATACTAATTCTCTCATCTTACTTCTGGGTCTCTTTCTGCTCACTGACACTTCTAATGGGTCACATTTTCCCCCTCGGAATGTATGGTTAGATACTGGTTGGATGCCAAAGGATGCTCCTGGCACTCGGCAGCACCTGGCTAGATTGGCAAATGCTGCCCGTTGACGGTCTGGGTTTTGTTCTCATCTCTCAGTGAAGGATGAGATTTGTCCTGGCACACGGTTCAGTCACCGGCAGATCATCGTGATCCTCTTGAGGCTTTCCCTCTGGATGGCCTAGCCTGAGGGTGTGGCCTTTCCGGGGTCTCCACCAAATGCCCTGGGTGCTCAGTGATACTTTTCACACTGTCTGGTTGGAACTTGTTGGTCTCCGAGCCCCTTGTAAGCCCAGGTTGTTGGCAGGCTTTCAGCTTCGCCCTGGTGGGTGTTTGCCCAGCCTCCTGTGGTTGTGCCCTGCAGCTGTGCAGCTTGGGGTTGGAAGGCTCCAGTGGGGCCCCTGTGTGGATTTGCAGTGTGCTCTGTCTCCAGTGTTCTGCCCTGCAAACCAGCAGCCCTTCGCATCCCTGAACTCTGACCTTTGTCTCCTCAGCTCAGTAAGTCCCCCTGCCCTGCTGCGCTCCTTTCCCCGCGTCAGGTGCAGAAAGTGCCTCCAGAGTCGAAGGGCTCGTCCTGCCCATTTGCCATCTCTCAGGAGCACGGTCCTGCTCTTCCTGTTGTCTGGTTACAGCTGCTTCGTGGATGGTCCAGTGTTCCCCTTGTTGACGGAGGGAGTCTGCTGTGTTGCACGTTGGTCCCTCTTGGTCAGAAGGGCAGGTTTGATGCCTGGGCTCTTTGTAGTTTTAGTCTTCTCTTGATTAGTATGTGAACTTTTCTCTTGGTGTTCACAGTCTTTGAGGAGTAGGTTAGATGAAACTATGAGGTTGCTGACTGTAGACCCACCTTCGAGCAGCTTCCAGAGTTCCCACTGTGCTGGGCCTGCTGTTGCCGGCAAGTGGGGGATGGGATGTGGAAGACAGAGCTCTTCTTGCCTGGAGTTTGACTTCATTTTTTCAGAATGACTGAAAAAACCAAGGCACCTGAGTGGTTCAGTTGGTTAAGTGTCCGACTCTTGGTTTTGGCCCAGGTCATGATCCTCGGGGTTGTGGGATCAAGCCCCTCTTTGGGCTCTGCCCTCAGCGGGGAGTCTGCTTGGGATTTTTTTCCCTCTGCCCCATGTGCATGCACGCTTTCTCAAATCGATCTTTTAAAAAAAGGAATGAAAAAACTGATTAAGTAATACATACTCATTATGAAAAGAATTAAAAAGGAAACTAAGTCCATTGTCCATTTTTCCAGAACTATTAATTTGTATTTTTGCATCTCTTGTCTAAACACGTAATTTGGGAGTGCCTGGTGGCTCAGTCGGTTAAGCGTCTGCCTTCAGCTCAGGTCATGGTCCTGGGTCCTGAAATCAAGTCCTGCATCGGGCTCCCTGCTCAGCGGGGAGTCTGCTCCCCACCCCCCACTCCCGGCTTGTGCTCGTATGCACGTGTGCTCTCTCTCTCAAATAAAATCCTAAAAAAAATAAACACGTAATTCGTATTTTTGCATGTTTGTATTTCCTGTTGGACTACTCATCAGTACATACAAATCCACCGTGCGTGTGCGTTGTATGATAGCTAGACTTCTGTAACGTCACGCCTCAAGGCGCCTTTGCGTTGTGTAGTACGAACGTACCACCTAACTTCTCCAAACTCAGAAAAGTGTTAGATTGGGCCTCAGCGGATCATCGCATCTGCTTTAGTGGTTTGAAACGATCACGTCTTCCCCGCACACGGACTGGCGTTTTAGGGTGCTAGGAAACTGGCTCATCTCTTCATAGGGTGGTCATCTGTGCTGAGAGAGCACATACAAAACGGATTAAAATGGGAGTGGAGAGGGCCGTGTCACCCTCAATATGCCACCAGGACCCCCAGTTAGTGCAGGGCAGGACTGGCATTGGTGACAGAGCCCCAGTTCTGCAGTGTTCTTAGGTGCCAGGTAGGGCAAAGGACCTGCGTTGTTGCAGGAGCTTTGGGGTGCTCCGCGGGTGCCCTGGGACAGAGCCTCCTGAGAACCACTGCCCAACCCACCCAGTGTGCGCTTTTTAAGGGGGCCTTGGGGGGTCCCCACAGCTCCGGACCTATTCCCCCATCCCTGCCATGCTGCCTGCAGCCACGGCCACTGCTTCTGAGCTCCCGGGCAAGAAGGCCCCTCTGGTGTGAAGGACGCGCCTGTGTATCGACTTCGTTGCCGGGTACCCATGTTTGGTGACCGCATGTGGACCGGCGCAGCCTCTGCTCTGTCACAGCTCGGTTTGCGGGGTGCTTGTATGGTCACTTCTGTAAAGTCTGTCCCCTTAGGCATGCGGTTTCCAGATCATCTCACCTCACGGTAAAACCAGCCAGATCACAACTGTCCTTGAAATCATGCTGCCCACCAGGTGGTGTGTCATTGGATGAGATCTCAAGGGAGCAGGACTCCCGTCACTGGGCGGCCAGTGGGGGGTTTGGCTCTGGTGGGTTCAGGCGGTCGTGGGTCATTCGCACGTAGCCTGCAGCAAGCTCCCAGAGGCCAGGCATTCTGAAGTGATGTGCAGCCTCGGGAGCAGAGTGTCCGCAGGGTGAGAAGGGGCATAGGTTTTGGGGTTCTGGGCAGGGGCTTCCAGAGTCACTCGTACCACCTGTTAGTCTGTACTGAAGCTTGTGTTTGGAGAAGAGGTCTACTCCTTCACAGCTCAAAGCCCTGGACCAGATCGTCCAGAAATTGCCTTTAGAATTCTCCGAATAGGTGTTTATTTGCATCTATACGGGTCGATTTACGTGGAGTAGCATTCACTCTTATTTTAGCTATCTGAAATACATTCCCTTACACGATACTTTCCCTTTTCTGGAAAATCAGAATGCTTTGACTTGCTTTGACACATGCTTTTTAATCACATGCTTTGACTTGATTTTTCCGCTCTTATGGGGGACCCAGCATGTGATTCCCAGTCTCCCCTGGGCAAATCGTGTGCTTTCATGCTTGTATTTCTGGGGTGCTGGGTGTTCTTGCCTCATTTTCGTTGAGGTAGTAACCTTGGGCATGGGAAGTGACCTGAACCCTGGAGTTCCCATCCTCCCTCACCTCCCCACTCAGATGGGTGCGTTGGTGGATGAGATGTGCCCCAAGACCATTGTTCTCTGAGAGCTTTGATACTCTGCTGAGCCCAGTCACACTTTTTTTTTTTTTTAAGATTTTATTTATTTGAGAGAGAGAACGAGCGGGAGCGGGAGAGGGAGAAGCAGGCTCCCTACTTAGCAGGGAGCCCAATGTGGGACTTGATCCCTGGACCCAGGGACCATGACCCGAGCGGAAGGCAGACGCTTCACCGACTGAGCCACCCAGGCACCCCAGCCCTGTTGTACTTGAAATATGCCCACGTCGGTCTTCAAAGCCTGGTGCTGCACGTGCCTGGTTGGCCTGGCTCCCCTGCTGCCTCTCATGTGCCCACAGGTGTGGGACTGCCCGAGCCTCCGGGATGTGCGGCCCCAAGGGCGCTGTTTTCACCGCTTTCGCTTGCCTTTGCTGTTGTGCTTCAGGCTCTTAGAGATAAATATCAGTTTGTGTTAGAGCTCTTGTGAACGTTTGACACAGCTGTGTCCGTTTTAATGGGATCTGGGGTTGTCTGAATCTCTTTTGCAACCTAGGGATACCTGGACGTGTGGTAGGTATTTGACTTCGGAGGATTTGCTGAATGCAGGATTTCTGAGGAATCTTCTCCTCAGATGCAGGGGAGAGTGATCACTGAGTGTGGGTGCCGGCTACGGCCACCATGTGTCGTGCTCTGGTGGATCTTGGGGACGCAGACCTGGCTGAGAGCTGCCTGGTGGCCCTGACCTGTCCCTTTCTTCTAACAGGCTGTGGTGGTGCCTCAGGGTGGAGGACAGCTGTGGATCTTTGGAGGGGAGTTTGCTTCTCCCGATGGAGAGCAGTTCTACCACTACAAGGATCTCTGGGTGCTGCACTTGGCCACCAAGACCTGGGAGCAAGTAAGGTAAGGTGCTGGGTAGTGAGCCTGACCTCTGGGCCTGGCTCCTGTCCTGTGCGCCATTCTGCGTTCATGGTGACGCAGTCCTAGCCCTTGGAATTCCGGGGCTCTGTGGAGCACGATTGCAGAGCCCTGAGCAGCCAGTCTCGCTGGTGACTGAGGGCAGGGGAGAGCTCGCCTTTTTCTCTAGACCCTTCTCAGAGAAGTCCGGCCTGGCGACAGCCACCTGACCACTTGACTTTGTTGAAGGCGTTTCCGGCCTCGCTGGGAGCAGCGCATTATCCCTGCTAGTTTTCCCATCCACCCTCAGCACCTATATGGACCGTCCGGAATGCAGTTCCCCTCCCGGGCCATCTGTGGATCCCTTTGGAGGCAGCTCTGGGTTTCAGCTTGCTGGCAGTGGACCTGTGGTATTCACTACAAGGGAGCGCTCTTCTTAGGTCTAGTCGACCTAGAAATAGCAGAGCTGGGAAGAGGAGAGGAGGGATGGGGAGAGCTTTCTTGCTGCTCTTCAGTAAACCAGGCTCAGCCGTCGCCAGTGCTTGATGTCTGCCCTTGTCTGTGACATTGATAATGGGTTTGTCACATGTGTACTGCACATTCACCGCCAGTCAGAGCTGCACGTCGGAAGAATGACAGATGGAAAGTAGGGTTAGGTGGCTTGATTCTTCGGGGGTGCACATGCCCTGTGGCCAGGGCCACGCACACCACGCTCCCTGGGTACTGTCTCTGCTTTCAAAGCCGCAGACCAGAGCTTCCTCCCGTGCTGGAGTGGGCGGCTGGATTGCAGAGTTCAGTCATGGTGTGGAGCCCTTTTCGGGGCCTAGGACTTTGGTGGGAAGAGAGCCTCACTCTCTGGAGGCTGTGCTTGGTTGTTTGATGAGGAGCCATTGAGGAGGCCGCTGATGCCAGGCTGTGCAGGCCTGGGACGTTCGCACCGTCGAGTCTGCTGTGTGTGTGGAAGCGTCTGTAGCCGCAGGCTCAGCGAAGCCACTGGAGGGGTTAAGCCGTCCTCCTGAGTTCGGAACCGGGGAGCCTTGGGGCACGCTACCGAGTACTGACTTCATTTCCCTTCCTCTTACTTGCTTTTTGTCTTGGCAGGCACAGCAGTTCCAATTATTTTCATATCAGAAATTGATTTTGTTATGTATATGTGGAAACTTGGTCATTCATCCTCAATTGAAAAAGTATTTAGGCCCAGGGCACACCATCTTTGTTCCTCTTGCTTTGCTTCAGTTCTTTTAAAAACCCAATTGTTATTTATTGCCTGTCCATCTTTGGTGAATTGATTCAAGATATTTTCTTAGCATTTTCATCAGTTTGAGTAGCGTTTTGTCGGCAATTCGTGGATGGGTGAAGGACCGTTCGGGCTCCATGGGACAATACTGCCCTCTGACAGCGGCTCAGTGGGGCCTGTGCTCCTGGTGGCTGTGGGGATGTCCTCAGCTGCTTTGCCATGGCCACACTTCCTCGTGGCCTTCAGCCCTTCCTGGTTCTGTGGCACGTACTGTGGGTGTGTAACACGGAAGCGGGGGGCACTAGAGACACATGGCCACTCGGGGATATGCCCTTCGAGGGGTTTGCTGTGGCCACTGTCTCCCAGCCGGCCGGAGACAGTTGCCCTCGCCTCTGTGCGACCCAGGGCTGTCGGCCCCAGCATGTGTGCACGGTCTCCACGGCTTCCGTCCTGTGTTGGAAATTATCTCTGCGAAACAGGTCCCTCGCTGCTTGAATGCTTATTGTAATGATGCAAGAGTTTTTGGAAAGTATGTCGTAGAGCCTGTTAGAAGCTAACAGGAAACTGCAAGGTGCATCCCATTGGCATTCTTAAGCCTCTGCTTTAGTCTGGATGGAGTGGCAGGGCTGGAAAAGGAGGAGGTGCTTTGCTTTTCTTTGTGTCTAAGTTCTTCTTTCTGGGTGAGGACCCCGGTTCTGGTGGGTGAGCGTCACGTGAGCTGTCCATGGGGCCACGTGGCAGTGTCCACCTGACTAGCAGGTGCGGCCTGCAAGTCAGGAGATAGAGGGTTCTGTCCCCAGCTCTGCTGCTGATTTTGCTTGCCGGGAGATTATTATTTATTATTATTTTTTTTTTTCTAAAGATTTTTTATTTATTTATTTGACAGAAAGGGACACAGCAAGAGAGGGAACACAAGCAAGGGAAGTGGGAGAGGGAGAAGCAGGCTCCCCGCGGAGCAGGGAGCCCGATGCGGGGCTCGATCCCAGGACCCTGGGATCATGACCTGAGCCGAAGGCAGATGCTTAACGACTGAGCCACCCAGGCGCCCCTGCCAGGAGATTATAAATGAGCAGCTGGATTTCTGTGTTTTGCTGCTTCACGTTATGCGGTGTTTCGTGTCTTGAGCTTGTTGACAGGAAGCAAAAAGTCGTAAGTGGTGTTCAGGAGACATTACCTGAGGACCGACGTCCACTTCCGTGTCTTTGATGTCTCCCACCCTGTATCATCTTGGGCGCTGAGCTCCAGACTTCCTAAAACGCTTGGTGCCCTGACCGTTCTCAGGCTGCAGCCCCTGCCCCGCCTGCCCCAGAGGTGGTCCTGAGACCACTGAGGGAAGTGCCACCCCTGCTGCCCCCCTCCCACCGTTCCAGCTTCCCACAGCCCTCCTCATGTTGGGGGTGGGGGCGGATCCGCAGAAAGGTTTCCCACTGCCCCAGAAGCCATGAGCGCTGACCCACATTGATGTGTTAGTTTTGTCTGGGAGATGGCGCCACGAGGACCACGGAGAACAGGGACCAGTGGGGAGAAGGGAGCGTGAGCACGTGTTCCCATGGAGACTGTAGAGGAGTGAGCAGCACGCAGCTTGGTGGAGACTGCGCGGGGGGCAATAGCAGGCTAGCCGCAGATGAAGGCGGGCACTGTTGGGGGGCGGTGAGGCTGGAGAGCAAGACGCCCCCCAGCCAGGATGTCAAGGCACCTGTTGTCCCAGGACAGCTTTACATGGGCCTCCGTCCCCAAGTGCGCTTTTAGGAACATACGCTAAAGAAACACTCGCTCTCGTTTTATACAAAGATAGATACCAAAAACCGTGAAGCAGACCAGTCCGTGCCTGAGAAGAAAGCCCAAGAGTGTGTCCATGTGCAGGTGTGCTCGCCAGGTGGGTCAAGAACTGTACCTGCTTGGGGCGGGGTCTGCTCCTGTTCTGCTATCGCTCTGTCTTCGTCCCTGCAGCCAGCGCTGTATTCTCAGAGCTGGAGGGTTTTGCTCATTTACTTAAAACATTGCTTTGCTGTGCATTTTTTTCATACGAGTTCCAGAATCAGTTTTTGAAGTGGTATTTTTAAAAGTTCCAATGCGATTTTGATTGGGTTTCTTTTCTTTTTCTTTTATTTTTTTTTCACCTTTTTTTTTTTTGTCAGTCACCATACAGTACTTCATTCGCTTATAGATTGTACTTTGGGAGAGTTGACAACTTTCTGATCCTACCTTCCTGATCAGGAAGATTGCACTTCTCTCCAGTTAGGTTTATTTCTCACCCGTCGATAAAATTTACAACCGCCTACGAGAATTGCCAAGTCAAAGGGCGCCTGTGTCTCCGCGCTCTCCCCTCGGGTCTGTACCCGCAGACTCCAGCCGCACTCCCTCCTCGCTGGGAGGAGGCCTGTCGCCGGCGCTGTGCCAGTGCTCCGGGTTCTAGTTTGGTGGTCTTCGTACACCTCCCTTCTCCGTGAAGCAGCTCCTAGACGGCGGGCAGCGGCCCTGTGGAGTAAGTCGTTTTCTGTCCTTACTTGCACTTTGGAAGGGTTCTCTAGAGAATGGTGTCGTGGCTGGGAGACCTGTGGGGTTGTGGCCCAGAGCTGAGGTAACACCTCTCTTCGTGAATTCTTGGACTTTATGCACCAAGTAGCACCTCCCTGCCCGCGTCACCCCAAACATTGAGTCTGGTGCAGAGCAGTTTCAAACGGGGCTCAGGAATCTGCCTTTTATTTAAGCCCTCCCACCCCACTCAATGATCCAGGCAGTCCTGGGCTGCAGCTGGAGGCCCTAGTTGCTCATCCATTGGCCTTGGTGACTAGTGGGTCTCGTGCTTATTTAGAGCCTTGTTCATGGATGTGAGCATGAAACATGCCCGCTGCCCTTTCAGGAGTAAGAAAACTCGGGTAAAATTCCTTAGGCCCTTAACCAGGAAATAGAGCAGCTGGTGCTTCTGTAATATACTGATTGTTGCAGACTGCAGGCCCCTGGGCTGTTGGCTGGCCTCCCGGCCGGGCGGCACACACTTACCTACCTGGGCTACCGTGACTGCGAGCGTGCAGGAGGAATCCTGAGGGACGCCTGCCTGCTGGGTCCTTGGGTAGGCCGAGGCGCTGCTCCTGGGAGTGGCACTGGGTTGTTGCCGCCCTGGCGCGATGGCTGCCGAGGAGAGGGGCCTGCTGCTGGCGGTGTGGCTCCGTCATCTGGTCTCGTCTCAAAGGCGAGGAGATTCATTCAAAATGCAGACTGAGTTTACTGTTTCTGGGGAAGGCCCCTGAGTCCAGGAGAACCCACATCGCTCGGAAGGTACAGGCAGAGCCCTTGATGAGCTTGAGTGTGTTTTGTGCCCAGGATTTAGCCCGGCGCTCTGCATTCATTTCTCGGTAAATGTTTCTCCCGTGGGGGGTAGTTTCACAGCTGAGGAGGCCTTCAGAGAAAGGTCGTATTAAATCGGCATCCAGAGTATATTTAGCCCCTTTCTGGGCTTTCAAACAGGTTTTTCTTGTGGGACGGCAGGGTGTATTCTGTCTTGCTAGCTGATGACTTTTGATTTATCCGATCGGCAGGTGTGTCCCGCCCATCCTTGCGTGCATGGGCTGGTCTGAAGAAAGTGCCTTTTGGGGAATTGATTTCAGCTTGCCAGCGAGAAGAGGCAGGGCCTGCATGGGGTAGCCAGGGAGGAGCTGCTATTCTGAGGTCTGAAGTCAGGTCACTGGAAGGGGCGCCTCGATCGACCAGTGCCTGTGTGTTTCCTTGTTTCGTGGCCGTGCTGTGCACCGATGGTTTGTGTGGAGAA